GGGGGGGGGGTAGAAGAAAATGGTTTTTTTTTTTTTTTTTTTTCAATTTGTTTTTTTGGGGGGGAAATTGCACCGACCGGGCATTGGAGCTACCGACCCCCGAAAGTCGTCGCGCGTTAACGGCCGCGACTTTTTTTCATAGCGGACCGTTTCCGTTTTTAGCGAAAATAGGATCGATAATATTATCGTTGCTATTTTCGATAAATGGAAAGATAGGCTGACATACTACTCCAGTGCTCCCTTGTCTCCCCCTTCTCGCCTTCCGCCTTCTCCCCTCCCCGGCTTTCCGCCTGTCCGCTCTCCCTTCTCAGCCCCCACTTTCGTCCCTTGCAAAAATAGGACCGATAATATTATCGATCCTATTTTCGATACACGCAAAAATGGGCCGACATATTGCTCCTCTCTCCCCTACCTTCTCCCCTTCTGCCTTCTCCCCCTCCCCGACTTCCCGCTCGTCCGTTACATACTGGTCCCCTCAGTCCCTCTCCCCCTGCTTCTCCCCTTTCACCTTCTCCCCCTCCCCCCCTTTCTGCTTGTCCGCTCTCTCCTCTTGGCTCTCATTTTCGCTCGCCCCCAAGGAAAATTGGATCGATAATATTTTCCATAGATGCGAAAATGGGCCAACATATTGCTCCTCTCTCCCCCCCGTCTCCCCTTTCACCTTCTCCCCCACCCCAACTTTCTGTCTGTCTGCTCTCCCTCATGATCGATTTCCCCCATCTGCCTCCTCCCCCTTTACATTTCCTCTTCTCTGCCTTCCCCTGACTAAGGCAGGTATGGCAAGGGGGAGTTGGGGAAAGGCAGGGGGCAGAAGGCGAAGAAGTGCAAACGTGCATGAGGAGCACGCAGAGGGGGAAGAGCGATTGCTTTGGCGCCCATTTTTGCCTGTAGCGAAAATAGGATCAATAATAGTATTGAATATATTGATGTTATTTTCACCGGAGGCAAAAATGCAGCCATGCGAGCTACGAAAACCGAGACCCAGGTTCAAATTCACACGTGCTCACTCACTCATGAAGGACTGATGGATTGAAGGTGAGCGGGGGGGAGGGGGAGATAGCGGGGAGTAGGGTGAGGCGGGAAAGACGGACCAAGGTAAACTCAGCGGAGCGAGAAGGCAGAGTCGGGGAAACACAGATCCGAGAAAGGGCAATAAGGCGGAGTGGGGAAAAGCCGACGAGCGAGAAGGCGCAGAGAAGGAAGCCAAAGTGGAGGAAAGACGAAGCGGAAGGCGGCTAGCGAAAGGGGGAGTTGGAAAAAGGCAGGAAGCAAGAAGGCGGAGTCAGGGGAAAGCTCAATCGTGCATGCCGAAGAGGAGGAAACAACGGGGAGAAGGCGGGAGGCGAGAAAGAAGCATAGGGGGAAACAGAGGTTTTGGGGAAAGGCAACTGCGAGAAGGGGGAGTTGGGGAAAGGGGGCGAGCAACAAGGCGTAGAGAAGAGAGGCAAAGTGGGAAAAGAGGAAGGGGAAGGCGGGAAAGGCAAGGGGGAGGAGTGATCACACAGGGGAAAATGCGGGAGTGGGGGAAGGCAGGGGGTAAGATGGCGGAGGGGGGAAGGTGGAGAAGAGGAGGGTGGAGGGAGGATGGCGGAGAAGAAATTTGACTTTTTTCTTTAGAGGAAGCTAATGCCTGAAATTTAACTTTCATTTTTGTGGAAGTCCATGCCCATTGGCGGGACGAGGCCATTTTTTAGCAGACGTCCTAATCCCGATTTAAACAGTCCGGAACTGGTGGTTCGGCGTCTGGTTTGAGGGCACCGGTAGATTACCAATTTAAGAAATTCCCCTTTGGGCCAAGGCGTTTTCGCTGTGCTCAGAGAGCTGCAAATATTCCCGTTTTTTATTTTCACAGGATCATCTTCGGA